AACTCAGACGCCTCCAACGCTTCAGGGGTCAGGTTCCAGTCGCCTGCACAGAGCGCAGGTCCTGATATCGTTTGCATCATACTGCCTAGTTCAGCTAGGATGTTGGCATTAGGCCCACTGGGGCCTACCTGCGGGTGGAGGTAGATGTTGAACACCGTGATGGAGGGCCAGCCTGGTAGATCGACCTCGACTCGTTGTAGTCGGCCTGGAAAAAGACACTCGACTCCAGCTGCAGGTGGTCGCAGCCCGACTCCTGTCCGCACAAATACTGCAACACCAGCTCCAGTGTTGTGACCAGCCGTAGTCTTCGACGAAAGAGCTCGCATTGACCAGCCTCGTGTAGCACACCAGGAGTCAAGAGCTTCAAGATCCGCTTCGAGATGTCCAATCTCTTGCATCAAAATCACTTTCGCCGAACTCTTCTCGAGCCTCTTCTTCACTGTTCGTTTGCCGCCATTGGCGTTGAACGATTCGAACTCATGGTACGTGTCGTCGTGTTCTGCATCTGCTGCAGGAACTGTCCCATGATGCGATAACTTGAAACCGCTCACTCGGGGAATATCAAACTTGGGATCGCGCGCTTGCGGATCCGCATCACCATTGACTTTGCACTCCGATTTCATCGTACTCGAGGATGCCAATGCCGTAGAGCTTGTGGCCCTCGTAGCAGAAGACGAACAGGTGGGCCTTCCCTCCAGCGATTCCCTAGGCTGGGTTCCCTCTCCTCGCCCACTGCAAGCCTTGACCTGCAGCTGCGTTGGGGGTGCCGTCCAGCCTAGAGTCTCAGCTTTCTCAGGGTCAGGCCGCAACGTGGAAGACGGGGATGCCGTAGCACTGCTGGACGCCGAAGTCGAACTCCTGCCCGACAGACTCCATAGCCATCTCCTCAAGCAGCAATCGTTAGGAACTGGAACTGACCTTTGCACGCTTGACGGAGAACTCAGCAAGCTTTTGTCGAAACTGCTCTTTGTCTCCTGCCAGTGAGAACAATATCTCGTGCTCGGGCTCGGTGAGATCCTCGTACATACGCTTCTCCCCTGCAGCTTGCCCGTCATCACCTGGCTCATCTGTAGCTGCATTCTCAGAAGACTTAATATCATCACCATCAGCATCAATATCCATCTTTGTTGGCAACTTAGAGGCCCTCTGCGTGAGTAGATTCTGGAGCAACTTCCACTCTGGGCTCTCGAGGAAGGGGATGAGTTCTTTGGGAACCTCATCTGGCTCTGATCCGAAATCGAAGAGCTGCGACAAATCAGGCGTCTTCTTTGCATCATCGGTCGAGGTCGTGACATGCTTAGCCGTCTCAGCAAACTCGACCTCCAGCGCTTCCACTTCCTTTTGCTTCGCCGCAATCTCATCCTGTCTTTTTGCAATCGACTCACGTATTCCTTCCAACTGCTTATGCTTCTCACTGAGCTCATCTTGCATTTTCTGCAACGCGGTGCGTGCCCGACTGAGGTCTTGCGCTGCCCGTCTGTGTGCAGTAGCCGGGGAACGTAGCTGCTTGTGCTGGCTGCGCAGATCCTTGAGCCGCTCCTCAATCGGGGACTTGATACTGTCATTGCCATCGCTGCACCTGAGTCTCTTGAGCACATCTTCCAACTCATAGATCTCTTGCATGATGGCGTCACGCTTGGCACTGTTGTCCACCTTGTCCTCAGACTGTGTATCTGTGCCACCTGCAGGCCCCGCCGTATGCCATGGCGGCTTGCCTCCTGTGCCTGAGGACTTGGACTTGGGTGCTGCACCCGGCGCCACTGTCGTGGTTCCTGCCTGCACAGCCTTGAGCACCTGCGCCAGCTGACTCTCGAGCCGCTGGAGCTTGCCGTTGTCAACACCGCCGTCGCTGCCTTTGCCCTTTGACCCGTTACCTTCGCCTTTGGACTTAGCAGCTGGGGGTCCGTCTTTCTCCCAAGCTGCTGCATTCTCTTTCGCACGCTGAACGATCCTTGACGGGGCGGGATTGCCGCACTGGCACACCACTCGACACGCCCAATTGTGGGCCGCTCCACATCGGCCGCACCCCCAGACAGGGTACTTGGGTCCCAAGAGGACTGATTCCTGCCTTGCAGGCGGTACCATGGGCCGGTCGTAATGATGAACACAGCGGGGCTGGGCCGTGCGGGGCGGACCGCACGGCGCTCTGCCTGGGGCGAACCAGGCGAATGACGAAAGCTGGCCGCGGACTAGCGGTATCCACTTTGTTCCCAGGGGAAACTAAAACTTTGAGCCAAAATGGCTACGGAGGAGGAGGAGGAGGAGGCAGAGGAGGAGGAGGAGGAGGATGAGGAGGAGGAGGAGGAGGAGGAGGAGGAGGAGGAGGAGGCAGAGTAGGAGGGAGGAGGAGGAGGAGGGAGGAGGAGGAGGAGGAGGAAGAGGAGGAGGAGGAGGCTCGACTCTGCGGGATCTTTCTGCGCCCGGCGGTCTCGCGGCCTGGCCGTGGGTTCTCCGGTGCTCTCTCGGCTCCGCTTCTGGGCTCCCACGCGGTGCGCGACGCGCGATGATCCTCGCGCCCTCGCGCCCTCGCGCCGCCCCCATGGGAGAAGAGCGGCCGCTCTGCCCCAGACCGCGGCGCGCGAAGCGCGATCGTCTTCGCGCCCCTGGGGGGAACCTTGAGGGGACCAAACAGTACCGATACTCCGACTCTCAGGTCGGGCATACCCTGATGCTTCGCAAGAACAATGAGCAACAGTACAAGAACGCTCAAACATTCTCAACAGTAGTCGAAACATCGTTCCCAGTCTACTTGTTGTTCCGATGTTTGAAGTGTCCTCCTGTAGAGGGACATGCCCGACCTAAGCCCTGGGGGTGTCCTTTGGAGACCCAAAGTGCCGAGACCGCTACTCCCTGGACCTCTCCTGGGGTGCGTTCGGACCAGGAGTTCGAGGCGAATCCAGCGGTGGCGACGAGGGCCTCCTGGGAGGCCCACACAACGAGGGAAACGCAGCGGTGTGTGTGTGTGTGTGTGTACACGCCGGCCGGAAGAAGTGGGTAGGACCAGGAAGTAGGAAGGCGTTGGAAGTAGACTGGGTCTCCGCTCACCCCCCGAAGACGAATGAACAAGGAAGGCCACTCGACCCTTGAAGTAGGAGGGCGCCTGAAGTAGATTGTCTGGGAATCCAGAAATACCTGCTTTCAACGACCGGCGTGTACCCTTTCTTCCTCCGCGAGCTGGCTTCCACCCCACGCCTGCCCGCCAGCCTCCCGCGCAGCCGTCGAGCAGTCTGCCAGAAAGGGCCTTCCCGCCAGCGCCGCACCTCTGCTGCCCAGCCTCCCCCGTGGGGCGCGCAGAGGTGCCCCCTCAGCCCCGATCCCTCCTGCAGCAGGCGTTGAGTCGGGCA